TTGGCTAGCACGTTTACTGTAGGCGTTAAAAGTCATATGATTTAAAAATAATTAAATATGGGCGTGGAATGTTTTTCTGCAGCATTCTTGACGAACATATATATTAATTTCTTCATGTATATAAAAAATTTAAAGTGATTTTGGATTGTGCCAATAAAAATGGTAAAATTGGAATTTTTGTTTCGCAAATCATCGTTATTATAATCAGTGTATTTTTTTTTTTCTTATTTGGTGACACACTAGTTACATCACTCTAGATGGGTTCGCTTCGGCAAGAAGAAACTCTCGCCGTTTAATTTTAAAATTTTTATGTACATAACTTAAAATTTAAAACGAAAAAATCGTTAAATATCAAAAATTACGCGTAATCGGCAACGATATGATTAAAAAAAAAAGTGAAATCTTTTATTAAGAGCCAGAGATTGGAGGAAAGTGGGAGCATATTATCTCGCCTAGGGCCATCATTCCACGATATATTTTTCTTTTCAAAACAATAAAAACTAATGAATAAATGCAAATTTAATTAAAAGAAGAAAAAAAGAAATTAAGTGAAAATAATTACAAAACTATATCTATTTAAAATTTAAATGAACTAAAACAAATATTTTTTTTAAACAATAAAATCTAAAAGTTAAATTATTAAATAAAATAAATCATAAAAAGGAAAAGTCCTTAAAAAAGATTATTTTTAAAACAGAATAAAATTAAAAAAAAAATTAATTAAAAAAGATGTTTAGACCATCAGTCTAAATATTCCCACAAAATAATGTCCAGCCCTAATATTCTGACACGTTAGGGATCCGCCCTAATGTAGGCATATGTAGACACAAATACATACATATACATATACGCGCTAACACTAATATTCCGGCCGTTAACTATTATATCCCGCCGGACAGTGAACTTTCGTTAAGTTTCCCCTTGAAGCGGTAGCTAACTGTCCGGCGGTCTAAAGTAAAATTCGGTAAATCCTTTACTTCACTTCTTTTTGGAAGATCAAAGCGGAAGCATCGCAGCTACCAGGCCTCTTCACCACAGGTAATCTCATTGTCACGAGAAGCAAATATTCTTAGTTGAAATAAGTTGACGCCAATAAATATTAAAAAAATACTAATACAATTGCGTTTTATATCTTTTCTTTTATCATCAATAAAACCACGGATGCGCTCATTCGAATTCCCTGCGGCGCAACTGGGTTTCTTCAAAGAAAAACCAATTGAATTAAAAAATAAAGAATAAATAAAATAAGATTCTAAAAATTAAACAAAATTTAAAAAGAATATGTTTCTTTTTTAAACAATAAAATCTAAGCATTAAAAGAAAAGTACACTAAAAATAATTCACAAAAGAAAAAATTAAAAAGTTCCTAAAAATTAGATGAAGTTAAAAAAATATTCTTTTTAAAAGAATACCATCTAAAAATTTAAAGACAATATAATTGAGAAAGAAAAAAAATAAAAAAAAAATAATTTACAAAATACATATTTTTCTTTTTAAAACAAAATCTAACAAGTAATTTTTAAGCAAAAAACAAAACCGACTTCAATTTTCATGTACAAATTTAGGAGCACCGTTAATTTTGTTCATGATCCAATAGTCGGATCTAAACCAGATTAGTATGGGATCTCTGAGACACTACCTTTCCCATGCAAAAAGAATTATCGAAATCGGTTGACGTGGTCCAAAGTTATGCGGTAACATATATAAAAAAAAAAATATTCCTACGAACTGATAACCTACTCCGTTTTTTGCGAGTCGGTTAAAAATGAAATGAAAAATGCATACATATAAAACCGGGTGGCAGATGGCGCTATTGGCACTAGAGTGATGGTTTATATCGAGCAGACTCTCGCAGAACTCTGCACATTGCAATCCACATATTTCTGAAAACATACATACATACATATGTACGCTCTTAAGTCCCATATAATTAGCGCAGTAATTAAGCGCAAAAATAGTAGCACAAAAATTCAGTGTGCAACTAAAAACCATACAACAACACAAGTACTTATATTGCAGATGCACGTGAAGTACTTGTTGGAACAAATGGCTCGAGAGCGAGAATTACTGCAATGAGCAATAAGAGTTCATGTTGCACAAATTTAGAAAGCTGCACTTGGCTAAGCTAGACGATAAAAATGAAAGTACTAAATATGTATGCATGTAAGTAGGTACTGTAAAGAGAAAACATGCACCAGTAGGAAAGAATAAATTAGTTTCTATTAGTTACAGGTAGATACTAGTACAATCAAAATAAGTAATGTTTTCAATCCAATAACTAACTTGGCCTTTAAAACCCAGTTTTTTATTGCATTTTATATGGAAAAATAATAGTAATTTAAATTGGTAATTGCCGCTATTTCACCACTATTCTCCCTTATCACACTTCTTGTACCGCATTCCAACGGTATACCCTCTGAGCTAAGGATGCCTGAAGTAAAATGTCGTTGCGTTTTCTAATTTCCCAATCTGCGCCTATCTTATGTCTAATGAAAGCAGACCGAAATAAAATTCAAGCAGTCCAAGCTCAACAATTTTCAAAAGCTGGTCAGAGTGAACATGACCGGGGCTATGTGAAACGCAGAGCTGGAGGTGTTACTAAGATACTTCCCCTTATACATATGTACATATACGCATTTAGATAAAACAGCAGGCAACCCTATTTAAAAAAATTAAGCCTTATCTAACGTGTTTAATGCAACGACTGACCTTATAATTTTTTAGACAGGTGGCAACACTATAAAAAAAAAAAAAAATAAAACCTTACTGCACATCTGGAGGCCAAGTTCTTTCATTTCACAACTCACTCTTTAGTCCAACGAACAGCCCACATCTTATAATTTTTCGTACAGGCGGCAACCCTTTTCAAAAAATAAAACCTCACTGCACATCTGAATACCCCAGTTTTTAATTTGAATGAACTGTGCAAATCTGATCTGTGCATTAATCAAAAATGCCTTCACGCATTATATGTAGGGTAGTAATTTTTAAATAGGTGCCAACCCCACTATAAAAAAAAACCATATCCTTTCACTTGGTACCTCATTTTTTAGTCCAAAGAACGGTGAAAACATATTATTTTCCGCAAGGTGGCAACCCTATTCAAAAAATAATAAACTATTGAACATCTAATGGCCAAGCCTTTTCATTTCACATCTGACTTTTTGTAATTCAACGAACTGATCTTATAATTTTTTTGAGAGGTGGCAACCCTATAGAAATTAAAAGTACTAACGAAAATACCCCTATCGAAATACCGAGCCGAATCTAATCTAGGTTAATCTAATCTAATGAAGTCTACTCCTTTCTGGTCTAATCTAATCTAGTTTACAGTATTGTGGTTTAATCTAATCTAATTTAATCTTTAATAACTTATCCAATTCAATCTAATTTATTCTGCTGGAACCTCTCCCGTAAATCTCTCGTAATGGGTCATCACATAAAATCCCTAAATACCTTAATACCTACTACTTCTCTTTCTCTACTTGATTTAGCAATCACAACTGAACGAATTCGTAGAAATTAGAATTATTAAAACATCACAAGGTAAAATTATTCTCACAATTCGTCGGCCATGATTTTTTCTGACGTTCGCAAGCATTTTAAAATCAAAAATGATCGTTTTGATCTAATTTTTATTCAAAACATTTGGGATCACGTATAAAATAAGTAAATTACCAAGACAATTGGGATGAATATTTATGTACATATGGCAGTGACAATGGCCGAGTGAGCAAAGCACTAGCGTGCCATTTAAGTTTAAGATTTCACTGCTAAAAAAATTATTTGTATTTTTATTTAATTAAATTTTTATACTAAAGTATTCAAGTTTATTTCCTAATCAAATTGTTGGTAAACAAATATTTCTTAGCTTCGTTTTTGCGTCTTTTACAGTACAGTTTTCCATTTTTATGACCTGTGACAGCTTACTGAATAGCGGCATAAATGTTATTGCCAATGACTTAAAAAAATTTAGAAAATTTTCGAAATACATATTTATATGCAAACATACGGTTTATGCATAAGCAGTTTACAATGATTCACTTTTTTTCGAAAATCCGTGACTACGCGATAGTTTCAAGGACCACTCGGCATTGTGTTTGCTCTAGGAACATTTTCTTAGAGCAAGAGGAATCAATTTGGTATATGTAGTTGTAAGGTACTGTTTGATCTTAAAGTTCCAAAAGTATCTACATACTTAACGAATTTACCTAACAGCCACCCAAATCTATTCACGTTGCTCTGAGAAGATGGTAAGTAAAGTAAAGCCATGTAAAGTGATCCTCGAAAATTTCGCTAAGTAACAGCTATTTATCGGAAAAAATTCTACAACACTAATATAAGTAAATAGTCTGACGATATCAGCCTTTTCCTGCATAAGTATGTACATATATACATATATTCGATGTATATTGTTTTTTTTTTAATATAAAAAAGAGACATTTACCTTCAAACCTGCAAGTAAACATATGTATGTCTCACTCTCTCTCTCTATCTTGATTTCAAAGTGTTTTGTAATTGTATGTCTTTCCTGCCGAGCCTTTGAACCTAAGCAAAAAAAAAAAACCTCTTAAAAAATTTTATTGACGCATGTAAGCCACATTCACATGAACACCCCTAAATAGCAATTCAAGCTGTATGTGCGTATGCATTTATGTGTGTAAAGAAAAAAAAACAACAAAGCCAGCCATACGACAGTTAACAAGAATGAATTTATGTAAATTGTTACACGAAAAAATTTACATGCACGCACTAATTACCACAGCACGGCACAGCACAGCACAGCTCGCACACTTACTCATACATACAACACGCACACGCTACATATGTATGTGCATGAAAGGATGGTTGGTTGGTTGCGTCAAAAAATATGCAACACTTGTACTATATATGCAGCATAAATAAAGAAAAATATATACACACACACACACACACACTTTTACAAATGGAAAATTTTTAGAAAGAACTAACAAGAACTTTTTATATTTTTTGCTCTGCAGTGTGTGCAACATTAACAACGAAATATATTTTAATGGCAGCGCTTAAAAGTATGCAGCATGCAGCGAAATAAAGCTTAAGGCGGCCAAAAGTATGCTATACTTATACGTTGAGCTAGCAGAGTGCAAAAGTGTAAAGTACACAGCGCTGCAAAGGCCAATTCGCAATAAATATTTATAATGCTGAAAGAGTGCATTACTAAAAATTACTATTGTAATTACAACAACATTGCGATTACATGAAATTAAACAGAGAAGAGTAACGACTTAACAAAAAGAAAATAAATTAAACAAATTAAAAATCAAAGCAAAGGGTAAATCGAAGAAGTGAAGAGCGCAAATGTGAAAGTGAAACTATGTAGAGAGTGCACTTACAAAGCGAATGACTAGAAATACAATAACAAAGGAGCTCACTAATTGCTGCACACAAAGAAGCGCACCAAAAGCAAAGTCAAGAATACGACGAAGCAAGACTACAACAGATTACCAACTGAGTAAAAGCAACTACTACACGAGTACTTGGAATTGTTGAAAGTAATTGTAAGAAACTTAAGAATCAAAAAAAAAAAAAAAAATTACAATCTTAGTGCATACATACAATTGCAATATCTACACAATGACTATATGTATGGCGAAAGCAACAACTGCATCGAGCAAGCAACGAGCGAATCCTTGTCAACACAAAGCATAGAACGGCAAGATTAGGACGCTTTAAGGAAGATAGTGGCTTTCCGCAACATAGCACTTGAAAGCCTCAACTATCCGCTTACTTTTGCGCAATTGACAGCTACAAGTGTTTGAATTTAAGATTTTCGAAAGTTGCTTTAAGCAAAAGAAGAAGAAGAAGAAAAAGATTACAGCACTGCAGACATGGCGGAAGGCGACAATTACGATGATGAGGTAAATTTATTTATAACTATTTTGGAAAAAATTAAGCTTTTCAGTCTTTAAGTAATCTAACGGGGCGATTCTGGCAACGTAAGACAATTGTCAAGTCTCGCAGCTATCTTGAAAGCTCTTCTTTCGAAAGACTAACTGCAAGAAATGGTAACGACGAGGTCTTAGCGTTATGCTGTTGGCCTTTTAGCAATAAGTGCTTTAAAAATTAAATTAAATTTAAAAAACATATACAAATATTTTAATAATAAAAAATAATAAAAAAATAATATTAAATTTAAAAAAAGAAAATAAGTAATAAAATGAAATATGTTAAAAAATGAAATAAAATTGAAAAAATAAAATAATTTTTTTTTTAATAATATGTTTAAATTAAACAAAAAAAAAAAATTTATCATAATCTTAAAAAAAAAATAAAATGAAAAAATGTATTTAATTTTAAAACAAAATCTAAATATTAAAAAAACTAATTAAAGAATACAAAAAAATAAAATAAGATCCTAAAAATAAAATTAAATAAAAAATGCTTTTCTTTATAAAACAATACAATTAAAAAATTCAAAGAAAATGAAATTTACAAAAGAAAAATAAATTAAATTAAAAAAGAAGCAAAATAAATACAATAAGTCTAAAAATTAAAAAATATATTACTTTTATAAAAATTACATCTTAACATTTAAAGAAAATTTAACTAAAAAAAGAAAAAATATTCACCAAAGAAAAAGCTAAAATAACTTCAAATAAGTTCCTTGTAAACCTCAAAAATTTACTTAATGTCGTATGGAAAATCGGTTTGTGTACGATGTTTACGTGGTTACTAGGCTCCATGTATACCCATATTAATCAAAAAATCTAAGTAAAGACCATGAGAGAATGATTGGCCTGAAGTCCTGAGGAGAAACAAGAGAGCTCTTTCCGTCCAGCGTTTGAAAACGTTGATATTTTTAACCTGCAAAAATTCGACCAAAGTTTTGACTTTGACCAGCTACTATAATTCGTTTGTAACTTAACCTAATAATAAGTTTCAGTAATATATGAATTTTTTTTTTTAATTTTGTACGTAATTTTTGTATAATTTTCACGGTTTATTTAAGAACTTCGAATTTTTTCAAACCAAGGTAGTGGCTCTTAAAAAATTTTTCTTAATTTTGAAATTTTCGTGGAGGTCTTTGTTTTGTACGTAGAACAAAATTTAGATGTTGATATTCTTAAGTACCACTCTAATGTATATGGCTCCAAAGGCGGATCTAGAGTGACATTTTTTTTTGGGAGAGGACTTTTACAACACTGTTCCCTCCTTAGCAACCATCTAAACTACCGACTTTTCATAATATGTATTTAGGCGGGGGTTGCCACCTGTTAGAAAAAATTTAAATTTACAAAACAGGTATCAAACCGGACAAAAATAGATACATTTAAGGCGCAGTGAAACAAGCCGGGTATATGCGAGTATTTTGTATCTTCGTTGACAAAAAATCCTTGTGGCTATGTATTTCGTTGTCGTTCGTGCCACGTTCATTTATGCAACATATACAATAACTAAGCGCTTGCAAAACCCATCATTCAATACTAACATTTTTATAACGGTTAATAACTTTCCAGTCTCACACAAACTATTTATTACTTCTAAACCTTTTTTACATTCGAAATCGCATTAACAAATGCCTCTTATTTAGTTATCGAATTCTACAAATACTCAACGCATTTCAAACTTTACCAGCTGTTACGCCCGCAAATATGCAATAAACTTTTGCAAATCGATTGCTGATATGTTGCTTCAGTAGCATTTTTCTTCGCCAAGTTTTACTTAGCGTTTTATAGCCTATTTTCGCCAGACACGTTTGCGGCTCTTTAACAAAATCAACGGAGCAAAGTTTGCTACGCGTTCTAAAACTCTCGAGATGTATAGCTAGCTGTCGATTCGTTACAATTTTCCAATTGGCAGGCAAAAGGTGAAAAAAATAATACTTGGCACCGCAAAAAAAATCAATTGCATTCACTGGAATTTCATTCAACTGTTGAAATAGTTTGTTAGCCAAGAAATTTGTGGTGGGGGTGGTAGGCTGCTTTGCGGTGGGTTTTGCAGTACTACGAACGCCACCGATGCGAGTTAAAAAGTATTAACTCGTTGAAAAGAAAATCTGTGTGAAAAGTTGAAGACATTTTGTCAAACTTTTATTTGCGAATTGAAAACGCGTAATGCGTGGAATTACAAACTTTTAGCAACAGTTGTTTGATGCTTTAGAACGAAATAACTTTGGTGAAGATGTGCTAGTTTTTCTTAAAAATTTTCCAAGCTGAAATTTTTAGATATTTCATGAGCTTTCGGTGACGCTTTCACTTCAGCTTTCACTTAATGAAATGTGCTAAACGGAATGTAGTAGAATTACTTCACCTATATCACTGACGATCAGAGTAAGCTTTTACTCTGACTGCATCCATATGGAATCTATAGAAAGTTTTAAAAGGTATCTCCCAAGGTACTTTTTTAGGGATAAGTGTTCCCAGGTAGACACTGACAGCGCTTAGATACCCGAGGGAAAGCCGAGAAGCTCATAGAAGGTCGCTTTATGGCCCGCTCGAATAGTCCCATTAGTGGTATATTCGCTGAGGAGGCTATGAATGTAAGCACGCGTTCCTTTACGGATTGAATTGCCTTTTTACCTCCAAACCGGTCCCTACGCTTGGACATCGAGCAGTATCCCTGCTACTTGAGGTGCCTGTGGAGGAGAAGTCCGTGGCGGAATAGGCAAAGAGAACTCTCGCGGCTAGTCGGAATAGCGTCGAGTCAAAAAACATTTTCATGTCTAATCCGTTGACACTACTTAGCTCTGTGGAAGCATTGAACTAACAAAAACACTTCCCGAAACTTCCTCTTTTAACGAGGGACAAAGGCGAATGATGCATTGGAAAGTTAACGTTTTCGACGGGGTATAAAGCAGAGATTTCAAGTTAGCGAATTCACGTCCACCAGCTCACTTACCTAGTCATTAAAAGTTCGTAGGACAGGAAGAGTTTATGGGGCTTTGATCTCCGTTTCGATCTATCTAATCATCTCTGACCAAAGTGGAAGATGCTTGGCCTGTCATCCCTAGTTTTGTTAGAGCTTTCTCTATGTAACTGACACCAATGTATAAGCTTGCAAGGAGTGAAGTAAAGGCACATTGCTTAGGTGTAAGCCTGGCAGAAGAATTTCGCCGTCTACTATTAAAACCAGACGAAGTCTCTTAGGATCGCCGTTAGGTATTTATATTTTTGGCTGCGCTAAGTTCCGCAACGTTAGATTGTCTCTTTGCTTTATACCGAACTTCTCTCTCTCTCTCGACATGCATTCAGGGCTTTTTTAATGATTGGTTCTACCTCTTTTACCACTTCACCTCAACTGAAGGTCTTTATTCATAGCGTACCGCTTCTTTGTCAAGCGGTATATTGTTACTTCCGTCTGTTCTCGACTGGACTCCCAATATAAGATATAATTCGCGGTACAGCTCCGTTTACCTTGTATATCTTTTTCTTCACTACTTTTACGTAGTCTTTCATGCCTTCTGAAAATTGGCCAGCAGTCCAAGATCTTATGCGATGTTTTCTTACAATTACTGCAAATTTATCTGTACATTATTTAGAGCTTAGTAAGAAAGTTACGTCTTCTGGTAAGCACGCCCCAGTTTTGCTCTAATGTGTCAGTCATCTGCACTGCCCTGAAAAGTTAAACTTTTAGACGCCATCATACATTGTGTTCTACAGCCTACGGGGCCTGCATTAAAGCGATCCCAGTGATTTTGACATTCTTCCATGTGGAATTAAACTTCCAATTGCCCATACGTCTGCTTTCTCGGATATATCCGACAGCCGGCATTGGCCTTCACCTCATTACATCTAAGCTCACCTATTCTAATCAATTCTTAGCTATGAATCCTGAAAGAAAAAAATACTCTCAGGCCCGTATTCGTTCAACAAATTATGTCAGTAACAACAGTTAATGGTGTGTAACAGACTTTTCTAGGTTCAAGATTCAATGATGCAAAAAATATCAATTACTTCCACAAAAGAAACTGCCAGCGAAAACTGCTGGTGATGATGGTGGAAAAGTATTAAATAAAATGAAGTGTAGCGAAAAAGCGGCAAAGTCATTCATAACAACAAAAACTTATGAGTTAGTGGAAACATTTGTGAGCGTAAAAATTCAATTAACTACAGCCTCAATTAATTCCATATAATATTGCAGCATTTTGCGCTTGAATGGAAGCCTAATTAGGTGAAAGCGAAGAGATGAGCAACACTAAATGGAAAAGGATATACACAAAAGTTACTAGGAGATTATGATGCAGAAAGCCAAAGTGAAGAAAAAAGAGGTCAAGAAAATGTTGGTGGAGGAAATCGCGAGGGAGTATGCAAAAATCATAAGTTTTATAATAAACATCAAAAAAGAGCCGCTAATTTTTACTTCTTATTTTTTTAAGGGAAATATACGAGTTTTGCGCAGGAAAAAAAAAACTTTAATTTATTTTATGACATTAACTAAACTTAAAATTCAGATTTAAATGTAGCGTAAAATCGGAACATTGTCGAAATAGTCTCAAAATTCTTGAAATTAGCAATACAAGTTGTTACAAAAACACCGAAAGGGAGCGAAAAAATCCCAAAAGCTCACGAAAAGGTGGAAAAAAGTCCCGAAAATTTCCAAAAATACCTTATGGACAGTGGAAAAGGGTGGGGAAAGAGTCTCGAAAAATCTTAGGAAAACACGTGAAGATGCCATAAGCCGAATAACGTTCTGAATAACAAACGGCAGAGGGCAACAAAAAATGTTCCATTAATACCGAAAATAATCCCGAAATAGCTCAAAAATACCCAAAAATCGCTTACGGAAAGTCTCTCCAAACCCAAACGGACAGGTAAACCTCCAAGAATTCTCAAAAAATCACAAAAAATCAATTCGAAAATACTGCAAAGTATCGAAAAAACCGGAAATACACCGAAAAAGGTCCAACAAATCCCAAAAT